TTTCCAGCTTTTACCTTTGCAGTTGTCTCCCTGGTCGTGGTGGCCGGGGAGTGAGGGAGCGGCTGCGTGGGGCGTGGCTGCTGCCTGGGGTTAAACCACGACATTAGGACAAGGTGAAAAGGCTTGAAATGGAAGGAGTGTAGGTTTAGATTGGATATTAGGAAAATGTTTGTCACTGTGGAAGTGGTGAAGCCCCAGTACAGGGTGCCCACAGAAGCTGAGACTGCCCCACCCCTGGAAGCGTCCATGGCCAGGTTGGACAGGGCTTGGAGCAACCTGGGATAGTGTGGAAGGTGTCCCTGCCCATGGGAGGGCATGGAACTAGCTGGTCATTAAGGTCCTTTCCAAGCCAAAATGTTCTGTGTTTCAATGATCATTTACTCACTCAAAACTAAACTGGACTCATTTTCTTCCATTTCCAGAAGTCCAGGAATAATAGAATGATGAGTTGGTTGCTACAATCAGAAATATCCAGGAAAGTGTGTGAGACCAAGGTTTGTTTAAATCAACTGGTTGAGTCATGCGGTTCCTTTTGTCTCTGTTAACTTGGGACTGATGTCTTAAGGAAAGTGGGGTTTAGAGAGAATACGGGAAAGGCGAATAAAAAGCAGATCTGGTGGAGGTGGGGGAAATTCCTGCTATCTGATGAGATCCAACTGACATAACAAAGCAGGGCCTAACAGTGTCACATCATTAGCAGGGACCATAAGCCATCAAAGACCCCCAGTTGAAGTGTCCCCCAACTCCACCGTGCTGCATGACACGGGAAAAGTGGAGCAATCCCATACATCCTGAACTCACAGAACCTGCTGAACTCTTTGTTGTGCTGGCCCCCAGCCCCAAAGGATCAAGACTGAGGACATCAAACTTGCAGATGTCATTGCTGAAGCCATGGGGATATCTTCCATGAGCTGTTGGCTCCTGGCCCACTTTGGTCATTCCCTTTCACAGGAGAGTAACTGGTGTCTGATGCTGACACTTGTGTGGCTGTCATGGCATCCTCAAATTGCATTTGGACACCCAGTGTCCTGTGAGGATGCTCTGGACACTGTGACATTACTGCTGGTGGTAGAAATCTCAGTGAGGAGCAACCAGTGGTTTATATAAATGTGACTCTGCAATCCAGCACTGCAACAAATAACTTTTATTGTAAGCTCTTGCAAACTAAATGATGTAGCACACACTGATCTTTTACAACCATTGAATACATTTCCCCAAATCAGTTTCCCATCAATCTGCAGAAAAGCTTCAGAAGCAGAGCAGAGATTGAAGGTATCCAAGCAGGGCATCACAGGGATTTAGCTCTGGCTGCTCAAAGCTTTCTCTGTATCTGATGCCAAAGCCTGCCTGTCTGATACAACAGCTGCTGCTCTCAAGGCACACTTTCAAAAGCAAGCAAACAAAAGCATATCCCAGGATCACATCATCACTGAATTGTTGGGGTTTGGAGGGACTTCTCAAGATCTTCTAGTCCAGACTCCAGGCTCAAGCAGGATCAGCTAGAGCAGGTTGTCAGGACCATGTATTGTTGAGGTTTGAGTATTGTGAGATGTGGAGATCTCCAGACAAGATCTCTGGGCAGCCTGAGGTGCCCTGGTCACACAGCCTTGCTAAGGAGGTGAGGGACAAGTCAGCTGCACAATCTCGGGGACAGCTAAGGGGGGAGAGGACTTCTTCCTGAGAGCTCTGTCCTGAGATGGGCAGCAGAGCAAAGCAGTTGGAAGCTCTGCCCACATCTTTGTGCCTTTGAGCAGAGGAGGAGGTGGCCTGAGGGACAGAGCTGGAAACACACCAGAGAATGAAGCAGCACAGACGCTGCACAGAACATTTGTCCCCCTCTACTCTGCTCTGCTGAGACCCCACCTGCAGTGCTGCCTCCAGCTCTGGGGCCCACAGCACAAGAAGGATATGGAGCTCTTGCAGTGGAGTCCAGTGGGGGTCATGAAGGTTCTCCGGTGGCTGGGAGCATGTCTGCTCTGGAGAGAGGCTGAGAGAGCTGGGGATGTTCAGCCTGGAGAAGAGGCCCGAGAGTGCAGTACCTGAAGGGTCTCTAAGAGGGCTGGAGAGGGTCTTTGGACAAGGGCATGAAAAGGAGTGACAGGACAAGAGGGAATGGTTTCACACTGATGGAGGGCAGGGTTAGATTGGATATTATAAAGAAGTAAATCACTGTGAACAGGCTGTAAAAGTAGGTAGGAGTAAAAGTTACCTAGTGATGTTTTGACTGCCCCATCCCTGGAAGCATTCAAGGCCAGGCTGGGCAGGGCTTGGAACAACCTGGTGTAGTGGAAGGTGTCCCTGCCCATGGCAGGCAGGTCAGAATGAGATGCTATTCAAAGCTTTAAGGTCCCATCAAAACCAACCCATTCAGTAATGCTGTGATTCTGTGACATGTGGGAAAAGCCACTGAGCCTTTTCCATCAAGGATGTGAGGCTTACTGCCGGGGACAGGCATTGTTGAACAGAGTAACCCTTCTCCCCCTGTAGAGTGTGCCCAACATGTTCTCCAGGTCCCCCAGACTGACTTTCTTCACCCTGTTCTTGTCGTTCTCAGCGATGGCCCCCCAAGCCTTGGAGGGCTGATTTCCCACCAGGCAGCAGGCAGCTGACCAGATGTGGCTGGGTACATTAACCCTCCCATCGGCAATGTAGGTGTTCCCAGGCACAGCTCCCGTGATGATGTAGGTGGTTGTACAGCCCTGGCTCATTTGGGGCACCGTTTTAGCCTCGTATTTGCTCCACTTGTCACTGTTGAGGTTTTCGTCCTGGGGCACTATGTTGGTGAGGGTGAAGGTAGCTGTCTTGCTCTCTTTACTATCCATATGGCCATTGGGGCTCAAATGGCCATGGGTCAAACCTGTCATTTTGTTGTAGTCCTCAAAGACAACTGGACAGCTTGGCTCTTTTTGATTTCCTCTAAGGTGAATCTGTGAAGTTGCTCTACAAGGACTACTTCTCTTTCCATGTTCTGAAGTTCATTTTCATTTATCAGCTGGACAGGGAAAGAGAATGAGGTGTTAGAATGGAGGAGTACCAGAAAAAATTTCTCTGGAGCTCAAGTCTCTGATGGGCAAGATCCCTTTTTTTGTCATGACAGTGAATGAAAATGTATGAATCTGAGAAAATCATAGACAAGCCCTTCCTGCATGACTGCAAGAGCTTTAAAGAGAAAGCAGCTCAGAATCTGACTGGTCCCATTTGGATTTGTGACCTTTGTAGTCCAGCCTGCAGCCTGTGCTGGGAGCATGGATGGATGCATGAGAAAAGGAGAATTTTCTGCTGTTTGGATTGAAAGGTGACTTTGGTGACACACATTCCCTGCCAAATCTGCTTCCCTTTCCTTCTGTCTCCACACCCCAAATCTGCCCAGGGCTCTCTCTGGATGTCCTCATGCCACACTGGGATTCTGTGGTTCTATGATTCTGTGACTCTTTTGTGTTGTTGCTACAAGTGTATCCCACTTGTGGAACACCAGAGGTTGCCTCCTCTAACCCCATACACTGGGAAATGTGCCAGGAAATGAGTCCTGGCACTGAGGTTTCCCTGGGAGGGTGACAGTTCATTCATGGATGAACATTTTTTTCCTCAGTAACCAAAAAGGTCTCAGTGTAAATGGAATCTGTTACAGCAGTGCTAAGAATGTATCTCAGAGCAGAACTGAGCCAGTGGGGGTTTTCTGCAGCATCACTGAAAAGAAGTTACAAATTGGAGAGAGAGCTGTAACCTCAGAAGAATCCTGGGGAAAATATATACTCCAAGAAGTCCTCTGGAGAAAGTTACCAAAATGAAAGATTTTTTGGGTGTCCTGGGTCCAAGGTCCAGGAGGAAATGGCAGGTCAGATAGGGCTTGGAGTATGCTGATCTGGAGGCAAGTGGCCTGGCCCATGCAGGGGAGTTGGATGGAGATGACATTTAAAATTCCTTCCAACACTAACCATTCTATTATTCCACAGAAAGAGAGAATGTGGAGGCTGCAGTGGTGCAAGACCAGATTATTTGCTCATGTTCCTATGCTTAATAAGAAGAAAGGATTCTTTTTTTTTGTAACTTTAACATCTCTTTGTTCATCTTTAGGGAACATATTTAGCCTTCCTCTGGAGTAGGAAGAAGAATGTGTCTTCCTTCTCTGCTCACCTTTCCCCAAATGCCATCCTGCTACTCTGTCCTTAGCAATGGCAGGAATTGCCTCTTTTCCTCTTCTGCAATTGGCCTGGCCTGTCTTACTGAAGTTTGTCTGAAAGACATTGCTGAGGGCTCTGTAGCTTGTGGTGTTCTGTGGGTCTGCTGGATCCTTCTGGTTCTTTGTGGCTGAGCCAAAGGAGCTCAGGGGTCAATGCCCATGCATGGAGATCTCACCCTTCTGACTGGACTGACACTGATGCTCCCCACTTTCCACTGCCTGAAATGTCACTCCAGACATCCCTCCACAGTCAACCTGACCCTTGCATCTCCGGTGCCTGAGCCTGCCGAGGCTTTGTCCTTGGGCCATCCCACCTCCTTTTGAATTTCTCCTCACTTTTCTCCCACCACTCACAAAGCGTGTTTGACTCTTCACTGGGAGCAGATAAGCTCTGTCAGGGATGCAGAACAGCTCAGGGCAAAGTGGGGATCATACCTCAGCAGGACTGTTGGTCCCTCAAGTTTAGCCTCTCTTGGATGCCTTTTCCCCATCACTTGGTCACCCACCACAGCAGGGCACAGGGAGGGGAATCATTTGACTTCTTCATGTAATGGGAAGTAATCTGCTTTGCTGTTCCTGTCAGGTCAAGGCAGAAAACTGGGCACCTTTGGGATATGATTCATCTCATCCTCCTGCTGATGTGTCAGATGCATCAGAAGAATTATGTGGTGCAGGAGTTTGAAGTTGAATGAAAAAAATCCCACCCAGTATGTCTGTTTGCACATGTGTAGTGGGGTGTTAGGAAATAGAAGTGGCAATTTAAATGCTGCAGCTCATCTCTGAGTGGCTGGGGGTTGATGTGCTGTAAGACAAACACTCACCTGGGGCTCGACACACCAATACTTAGGAGGTCTTTTGGCAGGTCCAGGCTGGTATTTGTAAGCAGAGTACACTGGAATTCTCCTGTCTCTGTCATAGAGGGTGGCATAGTGATAGGAGTCATTGTAGCTTTGACAGATCCAGGCTGGGTTCTGTGGGTGCAGGGCATCATTTGGGGTGGTTCCTGCATAGAAAAACTCAGGACAATCTGCAAAGGAGTTCACCACCTCGCTGTGTCCCAGCCAGAGGCAGCTCGCCAACACCTGCAGCAGCAGCAGCCCCAGCATGGTGCGCGGATTTCAGTGAAGGGCTCTTGCTCCCCTGGAAGGCAAATGCAGAGGGACATTCAGCTTGGAGAGAGCTGGTCATGGTCTGGAGCCTTTTTGTGCAGGGGGCCAGAGCTGGCAGAGGAGGGCATTATGAGAGACCAGGAAAGAAGTAATTTCTGTCTTCCTAGATATGGAAAAGTCACAAGGGCAGTGAGGGTGAAACCTAAAACAGGGTTTAGGTGCCCAGAGGCGGCAGCAGTGGGAGAAGTGAGCCTGTATGAGGAAGGAGCCAAACCCTCCAGGAGTGTAATCAGCTGTCACAGCAAAGTTATCTTGCAAGTGATGCACAGCCCTGGGACAAGGTCACCTTTTCCCACCTCCCTCCTGCTCTGAGCACCTTCCCACAGCAGACACCTGCAGCTGGGCACAGACTCTGCTCAGCCCCCTGCAATGCTGAGCTGGGCTTTCATCTCATGGGGCATTGGGTAGGGAAGAACAGCGATGCTGCACTTCCTACATGTCTCTGGCTCCATCCAGGTTCACACAGACATGCAGCTCTTCCAGCCAGACCCACTACTGAAGCCCAAATGATCCATTTGGGGTCCTGCCTCTGAGCTGACATTGGTCAATAGGTGTCCTGCTGCTCACCTTGCATTTCCACCTTATCCAACCCCAGCGTCTGAACTTGCAGACACAAGGAGAGAGCAAATGAAGGGGCCAAGCAGATGGTAGCAGCAAGCACGAGGGATGACACCTCCATCTTATCAGCACAATGCTGCTGCAATGCAAGCACTGAGGGACAGCTCTTCCTGTGCTTGCTTGGGATTCCTGCTGATGCCCATCTTCAGCTTTGATGATTGATTTTCCTGTGCAGTTAAAGGCACCGTTGCAGGAATTTCCTGGACAGCCCAATGTTCCATTTTGTTTTTCTCAGTGCTGATGTGATTCTCAGCAGTCAGTGAGATCATTGCTTTATGAGAAAACTGCTGAAAAGCTCCCTGGGATGCTGGCAAGCAAGCAAGGGGCTTTGTCTCCTTTCAGAGGCAGCACAGGTTTGGGATAGCAGGGACGCTTGCATTTGCATTGCCAGACACTCAGTGGAATGATTTGATATCATCAGCATTTGGAATAAGGCAGCTAGGACAAAATGGGTCTCTCTTTTTCAGCCCTGGATCAAGAAGGTGGTGACCAATGAGCTGGAAACTGAGAACTGGGACTACAAGTAGGGACTTCTCCCAGTACTCTGCAGAACATGCCCATAGCTGCCCCAGCTCAAGCAGATAAGTGTCTGAAAAGGCCTTTTGCATAACCCACTGCATGAGATTAAAATTTATCTAACTTACTTAATATCTAACTTAAGAGATATATAATATAGAAAGCATCCTGCTGTGGGAAAGAGCGACACAGGAGTCTGCTTGCAGCCCCAAAGTGGCAGAGGACTCTCAAATGCCTCTACTGCAGTCTCAGACCTTCTGGGTTTCTATGTCTCCAGGAAGAGACAGTGGTTAGATTTCCCCAGCAGGGTTTAGAGTGAATTTTCCTAGGAGCTCAGACAGCACCTCTGTTTGTCCAGAGTTTTTTGCAACAAGTTTTGGTACTCAATAATCTCCCCCTTCCTTCTTATAGAACAGTTTGATGTGAATTTTACAGGTGACTTGGCTTGAAATTCTTTCCCAAATCATTCCTTCTGTCCTTGCCCTCCTGACTGACAGAAAATACCAAACTGCTGCAAATTTCAGTGCATGCATAGGCTCGGATTGCTCCTTGGGGCTCAGCAGCTCCAGTTTAGGCTTTGTCTATAGATATTTATTCCAAAGCTCAGGAAAGACTTTGAATATTGGAGTCAAAGGTGAGGAAGGAACAAGAGCTTACCTTGAAGCAGAGAAGCTCAGACCAGGCAGCTGAACTGTCCCTTTTGTCTTCTCCCTGGAGAGAGGACTGTTTGAATCCTCAGGAGTGCCACTGCAATATATACCCAGTCATAAATTCACCCCTTAAAAGGGAATTCCATACAGAAAATAGAAGAAAAGAGAAGGTTTTCTATTTTTAATCTGGAGGTTTGTTCACCCCCACACTGAAATGTATTGACAATTGGTTTTATAGTTTCCTCAGAATTTCTCCTGAATTTGTTGACTTGCAGCATGGTATGTTGGGATCAGTCAAATATTTACCCTGTCATGAATTTCCCCTTCCTTATAAACAGAGAATTCCAGAGAAAAGAGGAGTTTTCTATATTTATTTAGGGGTGTTTGTTCATACCCTCACTGAAATGGGTTGATGTTTGTTATGGTTTCCTCAGAATTTCTCTCAAATTTGTTGACTTGCAGCATGGTATGCCAGGATCAGTTAACAGGGTCTGGTGACTTCCTTGTTCATTTTATCAATCACACCGGCTGCAGCTGCTCCTGCTGCAGCTGCTGCAGGTGCCTCTGTTCCCAACAGAACATGTCTGGTGACATTAGATGGACTGGTTTGTCTCTGAGTACACTCAGGTATTCCCAGTCTGCTCTTCTGCAGCCTCACATAACATCATTCCTATGGCCAGGCTACACCTATTCCCTTGCCTGATTGCCATGGCCTTGTAACAGCTTCATCCCAGCAGCCTGGGAAGGAGAAGGCTCAGGGGATAGCTCAGGGCACCTGCCAGTACTTTGGGAGTCTACAGGAGAGCTGCAGAGAGACTTTGGGACAAGGGCATGGCGTTGATGCATGGGCTGGGGTCCGAGTTAATTTTCTTGACAGTGGCAGCTATGGGGCTGTGTTTTGGAGTTCTGCTGAACACACAGTTGATAACTCAGAGATACTTTTGTTATTGCTGAGCAGAGCTGTCACAGAGCCAAGGCCTTTTCTGCTTTTTGTACTTGTAGGCTGGCAAGGAGGCTGGGGGTACTTGGGAGGTTGGGAGGAGACACAGCCAGGACAGGTGACCCAACTGAGCAGAGGGATATTCCACACCATGTGACATCATGCTGAGTATAGAAAGTGAGTGGAAGGAGGAGGAAGGAGGGGACATTTGCAATGGTGGGTTTTGTCTTCCCAGGTTACTGTTGGGTGGGATGGGGCCCTGCTCTCCTGTGGGTGGCTGAACACCTTTCTATCCATGGGAAATGGTGAAAGAATTCCTTGATGTGCTTGGCTTGTGTGCACAGCTTTTTTTCCTGTTAAATTATCTTTATCTCCACCCAGCAGTTTTCCAGCTTTTACCTTTGCAGTTGTCTCCCTGGTCGTGGTGGCCGGGGAGTGAGGGAGCGGCTGCGTGGGGCGTGGCTGCTGCCTGGGGTTAAACCACGACATTAGGACAAGGTGAAAAGGCTTGAAATGGAAGGAGTGTAGGTTTAGATTGGATATTAGGAAAATGTTTGTCACTGTGGAAGTGGTGAAGCCCCAGTACAGGGTGCCCACAGAAGCTGAGACTGCCCCACCCCTGGAAGCGTCCATGGCCAGGTTGGACAGGGCTTGGAGCAACCTGGGATAGTGTGGAAGGTGTCCCTGCCCATGGGAGGGCATGGAACTAGCTGGTCATTAAGGTCCTTTCCAAGCCAAAATGTTCTGTGTTTCAATGATCATTCACTCACTCAAAACTAAACTGGACTCATTTTCTTCCATTTCCAAAAGTCCAGGAATAATAGAATGATGAGTTGGTTGCTACAATCAGAAATATCCAGGAAAGTGTGTGAGACCAAGGTTTGTTTAAATCAACTGGTTGAGTCATGCGGTTCCTTTTGTCTCTGTTAACTTGGTACTGATGTCTTAAAGAAAGTGGGGTTTAGACAGAATAAGGGAGAAGGCAAATAAGAAGCAGATCTGGTGGAGGTGGGGGAAATTCCTGCTATCTGATGAGATCCAACTGCCATAACAAAGCAGGGCCCAACAGTGTCACATCATTAGCAGGGACCATAAACCATCAAAGACCCCCAGTTGAAGTGTCCCCCAACTCCACTGTGCTGCATGACACGGGAAAAGTGGAGCAATCCCATATATCCTGAACTCACAGAACCTGCTGAACTCTTTGTTGTGCTGGCCCCCAGCCCCAAAGGATCAAGACTGAGGACATCAAACTTGCAAATGTCATTGCTGGAGCCATGGGGATATCTTCTACGAGCTGTTGGCACCTGGCCTACTTTGTTTATGCCCACTCATAGGAAAGTAAGTGGAATCTGATTCATAAACTTGTGTGGGTGATATTATGGCACCCTCTGTTTGTGTTTGGACACCCCATGTCCTGCAAGGATGCTCTGGGTACTGTGGCATTACTGGTGGTAGAAATATCAGTGGGAAGAAACTGGTAGTTTATATATGAGGTGACCCTGCAATCCAGCACTGCAGTAAGTAAACTTTATTGTGAACACTTGTAGTGGGTCTGACTGAGGTAAAGTTCACAGCTCTTACAGTGCTGTGCTTTGCACTGGTAGCTGGACAGGTGCTGATAACAGACCAGTGTTTTGGCTACTGCCAAGCAGCGCTGTCCCTCTGACATTCCTTCTCCCATCAAAGGGAATGGGAGTGGGCAAGATCCTGGGAGGGGACTCAACCAGGACAGCTGACCCAAATTAGCCCAAGGGATATTCCATACCATATGACTTCAGCTCAGATATATAAGTTAAGGGGAGAGAGGAGGAAGGGGGGACATTTGTGAGTTTTCAATGTCGGCTCTCCAGAGGAATTGTTACGTGTGCTGAAGCCCTGCTTCCCAGGAAATGTCCAAACATCACTGCTGATGTGAAATAGAGACTGACTTTTGCTCTCTTTAGCACTTGCACATGCAGACACACACCTTCCTGGAGTGTGTGTGTGTAGAGATTCCTCCTTGGAGTGGAGATACCTCTCAAGATCACTTCTCGAGGCTGAGCCAAAGAGATTTGGCCATGCTCATTGGTATGTCTGAGAAACATCAATCTCTGCTTAATTGTTTTTGCTGGTTTTAATATAACTGCTTTAATATATTTGCTTCAATAGTGCTTCATAGTGCACAATACTATACTAGTAGTTATAGCTTCCATATTGTGAACTAAATAATTCTGATTAACATATTTTTGCCTTATCATTATCATCATAAATCATATATAATTATGTAAATATGTATGGTTTGCAATCCTCAAACCGGTGGGACAAGTTATATAAAGTTTCAATTACATCTATATGATCCTTCAGACATAAACAATTGACAAAATCTGGGGCTAAGATTGGATCCAGATGAACCCAGACAGCTCCCTGAAAAGGAGTGAGCAAGGGGGTCTTTTCTGCAGCTCATGACTCAACATGAAGGTTTCTCTATCAACCTTTGCCTGAAGCTCCCATTCTGTCCATAAAAACACCCTCAAAGGAAAAGGACACCCCAGGATTCCTAAATGTTCATGGTCAAAAGGAACAACAAAAATAAGAAGATATGTAAAATTTCACAAGGTTTTATTAGTAAATTATACACTTGGCATAGAAATTGTTATGTTAGTCCCTAAACTACTCTGTAAGTACATGGCAATTGGTACTCTTTTACGGATAAATTTCCCTGACCTGAAGACAGGTTTCTCACTTCCTAATGGAAATTAGATATCATGTGAAGTCTGTTATCTCAGTCCTTCTTGGAAATAAATCAGAGGTCTTTGGGAGTCTTGGGTTGTCTTGTTCCCCTTTACTCCATTTGTTCCCCTCTACTCTGTTCTGGTGAGACCCCACCTGCAGTGCTGCCTCCAGCTCTGGCATCCACACCAGAAGAAGGACACAAAGCTGTTGGAGTGGGGTCCAGAGGAGTCCACAAAGATGCTCCAAGAGCTGGAGCACATCTGCCCTGGAGAGAGGGTGAGAGAGCCTGGAGAAAAGAAAGCTCTTGGGAGAACTTGGACCCCTTCCAGTGTCTAAAGGGTTTTAAAAGAGAGGGAGTTTGGACAAGGGTATGGAGTGACAGGACAAGAGGGAATGGCTTTAAACTGTGAGCAGGTGGGGTTAGATTAGATATTAAGAAGAAATTCTTTACTGTGAGAGTGGTGAGGCCCTGGCACAGGTTGTCCAGAGAAGTTGTAGCCGCTCCATCCCTGGAAGTGTTCAAAGCCAGGTTGGACAGGGCTTGGAGCCACTGAGGATAGTGAAAGGTGTCCCTGTCCATGGCATGGAAGCTGAGTCTACATGAATGGTCTTTGAAATTCCTTCCAACCCAAACCATTCTGTGATTCTATGACATGCGGCAAAAGCTCCTGAGCCTGTTCCACCCAGGATGTGAGGCTTATTCCCGGGGACAGTCACTGTCAAACAAGGAAACCTGTCCCCTCCCATAGAGCTCAGTTAAAGTGTCCTCCAGCTCTCCCAGTGTGAGGAGCTGAACCTGGTTCTTGTCGTTCTCAGCGATGACCGCCCAAGCTTTTATGTAGTTGTTGTCCACCACACAGCAGGCCGCTGACCAGAGGTAGCTGGGTTTATTAACCCTCCCCTTGGCAATGTAGTTGTTCCCAGGCACAGCTCCCACGATGACATAGGTGATTTTACAGTCCTGGGTCCTCCTGATCATCGTTTGCTGCTCGTAGTTGTTCCAGGCGCCGCCGTTGAGTTTCTCATCCTGGGGCACTATATTGGTGAGGGTGAAGGTAGCCATCCTGCTGCTGTAGTCATCATGGTGGCCATTGGGGTTCAAATGGCCTCGGTTCAAACCCGTCAGGTTCTTGTAGTCATGAAGGATAGCCTGGCTCTGGCTGAGTTTCTCTAAGCTGACATTGTATCGATTTAAGAGTGTCCATTCTTTTTCCATAGTTTTAGGATAATTTAGGCCAACCAGCTTGACAGGAAAAGAGGAAAAGATGTTAGTATTAGGGATGGGATAATGGAACAGATTTCCCTAGAGCAGAAGTCTCTTGAGTGTCAAGATCCCATTTTTTCGTCTGGTCCTGATGTGGTACAATACCAGATTAGTTACTTTAGTTCCTATGAGGAACTAGTGCAAATATCTTTTTATTTCAGAAATTCATTTCACATCTACTGCATTATATTTAGCTTTTCTTTGGAACACTGCATATGGGTTTATTCTGTGATTCATTTTCACCTGAATCAATCCTGCCACTCTGTCCTCAGCAATGACTTGAATTTCCTCTTTTTGTGTCTGTTATTTCCTTGGTCTGTTTTCCTAAAGTTCTGAAGTTTGTCTGAAAGACATTTGTGAGGGTCCTGTCTGACTGCTGGATCCTTCTGGATCTTTGTGCCTGAGCCAAAGGAGCTCAGGGGTCACTGCCCATGCATGGAGATCACACCCTTCTGACTGGACTGACACTGATGCTCCTCACTTTCCACTGCCTGAAATGTCACTCCAGAAATCCCTCCACAGTCAACCTGACCATTGTGACTACGGTGCCTGAGCCTGCCGAGGCTTTGTCCTTGGGCCATCCCACCTCCTTTTGAATTTCTCCTCACTTCTCTCACACCACTCACAAAGCCTGTTTGACTCTTCACTGGGAGCAGATAAGCTCTGTCAAGCATGTAGAACAGCTCAGGGTAAAGTGGGGATCAGATCCCTGATGGACCATTGATTCCTCAAATTTAGCTGCTGTTGGATGTCTTTTGCCCATAACTTGTTCTCCCACCACAGCAGGGCACAGGGAGTAAAATAGTTTGACTTTGTAATGTAAGGCAAAGTAATTTGATTTACTCTTCCTGTCAGGTCAGTGCTAAAAATTAGCACCTTTGGGATATGATTCATCTCATCCTCCTGCTGATGTCTCAGATGCATCAGGGGAATCATGTGATGAAGGTGTTTGAAGTTAAATGAGGAGAATCCCATCCAGTGTGTCCATTTGCATGTGTTTAGAGGGGTGGGACAAAATAGAAATGGTTATTTGAGTACTGCTTTTAATGACTGGATGGTGATGTGCTATAAGAGACACTCACCTGGGGCTCAACCAGCCATGTTTTAGGTCTTTTGCCAGGTCCAGGCTGGTAGATGTAAGCAGAGTAGACAGGAATACGCATCTTCCTGTCATACAGGGTGGCAAAGTAATACTGGTTCTTGTAGCGCTGGCAGATCCAGGCTGGTTTCTGCGGCTCCAGGGCTTCATTTGGGGGGATCTCCCGGAAAAAAAACTGAGGACATGAACTTTCAAAGGACTTCACCACCTCGCTGTGTCCCAGCCAGAGGCAGCTCACCGTCACCTGCAGCAGCAGCAGCCACAGCATTGCAGGAGGATTTCAGTGAAGGGATCTTGCTCCCCTGGAAGGCAAATGCAGAGGAAGGGTCTATAAGAGACTTAAGGAGGGGGTAACTTCTGTCCTCCTGGATATGGAAAAATCAGCGCTATAGAGTTGTGCAGGCAGACAACTGTGGGTAAAAGGATAATGGTAGAAAAGTTACATGGGAAAATACAGTTACTTCTCCCTGGATGAAACACAGTCAGCATACCTGGCCTCCCAAACACAAGGACTAAATCTAAGGTGGGCCTAAACAGCAGGTGGAGTGGAGACACCATGGCCAGGTTCTGTCAAAAACCCTACAGAGAAGACACCTTGGTGATATTTTCTAGCTGATAATCTGCATGGAAACTGAAAACCATGGGAGATAAATGAAGATGTCCTGCAGCTGAATCAGCAACCATGGCAAAATTCCTCTCCTTGGACAGACACACATCCCCATCTCAAGGTTACTTGGATGATATTATTGAGATATCCACCCCCAAGGCATGAGAACCCCTCACTGAGAAAGAGGTATGACTACATGCAAACACCATCTAAATGTAAAGGAATAGTATAAAAGTGAATTAAAAATGGAGAGAAGTAATGGGAGACTCCATTGTAACTTCTGGGATCAGTTGTTGAGCTAAACCTACCTTTTCTCCCTTAGGGATGCCTATTGGGTAAGAATCCTACTTTATGCATGCTGAATGATTACCTCATTGGGGATTAAAGTTTATCAGTATGTTGTTCTGAATTAGTATCTTGCTTTGAGTATCTTTTTGCAATCAGATACTTTCACTGGCAAACCTCAAACCTTAACCTGTCACAGTTTTACTGATAGTATTATTCTGTTAACAGTTAAAGGGAGTCCTTCAGAGGTGCTGGCAGTTTTTGGCACTGGGTAAAGGTGTGGAGACCCAGGAGGGGTTTCTCTGGTTGGTGTGTGACCCTGAACAAGCCAGTCAAACCCTCCAGCCCAGAGAGCTGCTCAGTGTAGGGTCCCCACAACAGGACACCAACAGACTGATAAGGCAGGAGGGTTTTGGCCTTCATGTGGCCCTGACAGACTAAACACACACTAGAGGTTTGAGCAAATCTCCCTTTTTCACATGAGAAGGTGAAATCTAAAAGAGGTTTTAGGTGCCCAGAGAAGGCAATGGTGGGGAGCATAGTCTGTCTGAGGGGTGCTCCCAACCCACCCAATGCCTAAACAGCTCTCGCAGCAAAGTTATCATGGAACTGAGATATGGCAGTGGGACAAGGTCACCTTTTCCAACCTACCTCTGTTGGTCAAGAGCTCAGCTTTTGCATTGGCACTGGAGAAAAAAATCCTGCAAGAAAACAGGGCCTGGAAGCCCCTACTTCCAAACATGGTCTCATAGAATCACAGAGGATGCTGTGTTGGAATGGACCCATCAGGATCATTGAATCCAACTTCTGGCCCTGCCCAGGACAGCCCCAGATATCTCATCATGTGCCTGACAGAATTGTACAAACACATCTCAGGCAGGTGTGGGGATGTGACCACTTCCCTGGGGAGCCTGTTTCAGGGCTCAGACACTCTCTAGGTGAACAAGCTCTTCCTGATATCCAGCTTAATTCTTCCCTGACTCAGTTTCAGGCCATTCTCACTCCCTCCTGCTCTGAGCACCTTCCCACAGCAGACACCTGCAGCTGGGCACGGACTCTGCTCAGCCCCCTGCAATGCTGAGCTGGGCTTTAATCTCATGGGCCAATGGGCAGGGAAAGAACAGCGATGCTGCACTTCCTACATGTCTCTGGCCCCATTCATGTTCACACAGACATACAGCTCTTCCAGCCAGACCCACTACTGAACCCAGAGTAATCCAGCTTGGGTTCCTGCCTCTCAGCTGACACTGGGATATTAAGCTATGTATACCCTTGGCTCTGACACAGGAAGTCTGGTCCTTTTCCTCTTTAGCAACCCCTGATTAGGAATGTGGTGACCAGTAAACTGGAAACTAAGAGCAGGAACAAGAAGTGGTGACTTTTTTCAGTACTCTGCAGAACATGCTCATAGCTGCTCCAAATCAAGCAGAGAAGTTCCTAAAAAGTTCTTTTGCATGATCCCCTCCACGAGCTTAAAATATATTTAACTAACTTAATAACTAAGTTAATATCAGATATATAGAAACCAACCTACCTTGGGAAAGAGCTGCACAGGACTCTGCTCACAGCCCCAAAGTGGCAGAGGACTCTCAAATGCCTCTGCTGCAGTCCCAGACTGTTTTTATTTATATGCTCTCCAAGTAGGCAGAGCTGTCAGATTTCCCCAGCAGGGTTTAGAGTGAGTTTGTCCAGGAGTTCAGCCACCTGTGTTTGTCCAGAGGCCTCTTGCAAGGTCATGGGTGGAGTTTTGGTGCTCAGTAAACTCACCCCTCCTTTTTATTCAACAGTTTGATGTTAATTTTACAGGTGACTTGGCTTGAAATTCATTCCCCAATCATTCCTTCTGTCCTTGCCCTCCTTTACAAAAAGTGTTAAAGAGCTGCAAAATTCAGTGCGTGCATAGGCTCTGATTGCTCCTTGGAGAGCAGATGTTGGAACTCAGCAGCTCCAGCCTAGGCTTTCTCTCTATATATTTATTCCACAGTTCAGGAAAGACTTGAAATATTGGAATAAATGCTGAGGGAGGAGCAAGAGCTTACCTTGAAGCAGAGTCTCAGAACAGGCAGCCAAAGAGTTCCTTTCGTCTTTTCCCTGGAGAAACACTTGACTGATCCCTCAGGAGTCCCAGAGCAATATATACCCGGTCATAAATCTGCCTGTTGTGGTAAACAGGGAATTTCACTGAAAAGAAAGGTTTTTATGTTATTATTCAAGGAAATTTGTTCACACCTACCCTGAAGTGGGGTGACAGTTGCTATTTGCAATTTCCTCAGGATTTCTCCCAGGTTCTTGCAGCATCACGTGTAAGGGGAAAATAACTGGGTCTGGTGACTTATCTGTTCATTTCCTCATTCCCCACGAATGGGGACCTACATGTGTTTCTGTTCCTGGCAGAACATCTCTTGTGGCATTAGACTGACTTGCCTGTCTCTGAGTACACACAGATGTTCACAGTCTGCTCTTCTGCAGCTTCTCAGAACACAATTAGTATGGTCAGGCTGCGTATTTTCCCTTGTCTGATTGCAAAAGATTCATAAGAGCTCTTATTCACATAAAGCCTCCTGCTGAGAAGGGTCTGGGAGACCTTAGAGCCCCTTTCTGTGCCTGAGAGTGGTTCACGTGAAGAGGAACTTTTGAGAAGGGTGTGAAATGACAGGACAACAGAGAGCAGCTTCAACTTGACAGAAGGCAGAGTTAGATTAGATGTTAGGATTAGATTTTAGTCTCAAGAAGAGGCTCAGGGCACTCTACAATTACCTGACAATGGAAGAAGTTGCCTAGAGAGGTGCTGGAGTCATCATCCCTGGAAGTGTTTCAGAGGCATCTGGATTTGGACTGGGTGATATGGATTTAAGGTTTACAGTAGTGAAAGTTTACAGTAGTGCTGGGAGGATGGTGTGACAGAATGACCCCAGAGATCTATTCCAACCTTGGATTCTGTCATTTCTCTTTTTGGCTTCCCAAGTATTTCACAAGCTTGCTATGAATGGCAGGGCATTTCTGGGTGCTGCCAGGGGTAAAGGACAGCCCAGGGAGCTGATGGAGGTGGGATTCATGGGGTTGGTCAATCACCCATAGCTCCAGAGCCTGGAAAGCAGAAGCAGTGGGCATGGGATGAGCAGTGGTGAGGATGAGTGTGACCTCAAGCCCCAGCAGGCGTACAGAGGTGGGTGAATGAGAGAGAGGGAGCCCCCTGAGGTACAGCAGAGGCGTCTGCAGATGTGCCTCAGCCTGAAATTGCACTGATGTTCTGGGAACTGTGACATTATTGGTAGTAGAAATATCAGCAAGAAGCAACTTGTGATTTATACGTGAGGTGACCCTGCAAACCACCACTGCAGCAAATAATTTTTACTGTGAACTACTCAGAAACTAAATGATCTGTCCTATACTGATCACCAATGCCTATTTACTGGATCTTTCCTGCCTTTCAAGTTAGTGGAGGCAGTGCCTACATGTTACCCTGAGCTGTGCACTTTCTAGATGAGAGATGTTCAGTGAGCTCTGATGCCCAGTGATCCAAATCCTCTGTGCTCTTTTCCATAAGACAAACCTCCATTTCCTCAACTTATAAAAAATTCTGTTGGATCCTCTAGTCTTCTTACAGCTGGGAGATCAGAGATTACTACATGGAGTACTTTTGGTAAATTTTCCATATTATGGTAGAAAAAACCCCCCAGGATTTGCAGCACTTTTTTTAGGGAAATAATTTTGAAGTCCAGATCTGGCTTCTCCCAGTGGATGTTCTCCTGATTTTTCCCTCAGTTTTCTTTCTATTTGCCTTTAGATGCTAAAGGCAGCAGTCCAACTTTGTGCTCAAAGCAGGGGAAGCTGTGAAGTAGCTGAGCAAATACAGGGAAATACAAATAGCTCTTATGACTGCAGTAGTGGAAAAAGGGGATTTTGAAGGAGAGGCCAGTACTGTTTCGACTTCAATGACCGGACGTGGCACTCAGTGCCATAGTCTGGTTAAAAGGTGGTGATTGATCAGAGGTGTGACTTGGACATCTTTTCCAATCTAAATGATGCTGTGATTCTACTGGGAAATGAAATGAGGTGTCATCAAAGCCTTCTCCTGAGCTTTCAGTCCCTGTGGAATAAGGAAATTAATAGCCAAAGAGATGCTAAGTAGATGGAAGGCTGCAGGTCTTCAAGGCAAAGTGAATCACAGCAGCAGAAGCCAAATGCACATGAGAAAACAAAATGCAAGAAGGTGAAATGTTGCTTGAACAGGGGGATTGAAGAGATTTGTGCTCTTCTGGACTGTTCTTTTTCAAGGGCAGCAAAGAGTCCACAGCCACAGGCAGGATCTGTGAGTGAGGACAGAGAGGGAACGTAGATACCTCAATGCCAGCACACTCTTTACATCAACCAGGATGGTGATATATGCAGGTCTCACCTTACACACCAAGTGTGTTCATAGAATCACAGAAAGAATCATGGAATGGTTTGGATTGGAAGGGACCTTAGGGATATCCAGTTCCATGCCCCCTGTCACCAAGCAATGACACCTTCCACTAGACCAAGTTGCTCAAAGTCCAATCCAACCTGGCCTTGAACACTTCCAGAGATGGGGCATTCACACGTTCACATTTGCCAGGTGTACAAATGAGAGTGAGCTTCAAGTGATGGGTAAAACACTGACCTAATCAAATCAAAGATTAGAGGTTCACAGAAAAGGCAACAGCTGCTTCTTCTGTCTTCCCCTGTGTCCCAGAAGTGATCCTAAAGCACCTCTGCTGTGCAGCTCTCCCTCAAGGAACATTTTCTGTGTGAAGAATAGAACCCTTGTCCAAAGCCATATGAAAAGTATCAATTTTATGGAGAAAAGCGCAAGGAAAAAGTAAGGATATAAAAGATTGACTGTGTTACCAAATCCCCCCAAGGACAGCAGACGTACATCATTCATTTTAAACAATTTTCCTCAAACCTTTCTATGCAACACTCCAAATGCTAGCTCATGGCAACTCTTGAATTTTGGAGATAAATGTATTCAATCCATTCTTTCCTAATAAGGATTAACAGCTTTTTAAATATCATAGAGTTCAGCTGAAAAAGTTGGTGTGGGATTTGGATATCTTTGGCTACATTAACTCCACCAGCCCAGGTGCCACGTTCCCTGTGCATGCAGAGCAGGTAACACTGAGGTGACAGAGGGGTCACCTCTTTGCCACCAATGAAGCAACACCTTGCTACAAACATTGACAGTTGAGAGCTGTCAGGTTCCCTGTGGTTACTCTCACTCTTTCAGTTTCTTTTCTTTCAGCTTTGGAGACCAAAAATCAGTACATTATTTTCACTTTCTCATGTGATCCTCATGGCAAAACCTCTGAACTGCATATGACAGAGGGAGTGGACAACCACCACTGGAGGCTACAAGCCAGGTTTTGAGCCAGATTAGGGAGAAGGATGGTAAGAAGCACACCTCGTGGAGCCAGGATGGTGTTTTTATCATGGCAATTGTCCTCCCTTACACAACTGCTCAGCTGTGGAACTCCCACCCCTCGCCCCTGGGCAAGGTCACATTCACACCTGGGCTCAACTCCCTGATGTGAGAGGCAGCTGGGAAGACTTCATAAAGCATCAAAGACCCCCTGAAGTGTCCCCAGACTCATTCCTGAGGCCTTCCACCAAAGGACTAAAAGCTTCCCCCCAAGGTGAGGTACCTGGGCATTCCCACCCAGCCTGAGCACATTTTAACTCACTGGACATTTTATTTGGGGGCTTTTCCCTCCACACCTGATGGATCAAGACTGTGACCGTCACTTCAACCAACAGGCATCAAAATAGCAACAATAAAATCTTGTCCCTGGATCCATAGGTGGTGAGGGTTTTCTATTCTTATCCTTTCTTTCTTTCTTTTTTCCTTTATATATTTTCCTAAGTGATATTTTAATGGATATATACGTATATATATGGATATATATATATAAATAAAATACATATAAATAAAAATATATAAAAATAAATATATAAAATATATAAAAATAAAAATATAAAAAATTAATATATAAAATATATTTTATATATAATTGATGTATATTTACATAAATAAAACTATGGATATATGCATATATGGATATGTATATATATATGGATATATATATTATATGGATATATAATATGGATACTAATAAAGATAATACTAACCAAAATGGCTACATACCTCCTTTCCACTGCAACCAAATTATTCTAAAATAAACTCATATACATATATACATATATATATATTCTTAAAAACACTGGTCACTGTTGTTTCATCCTAATCCACCCCAGGGAATCTATTAACAAGAACCTGGAGCATGGGTCTATTAACAAGAACCAAAGACCCTTCCCTTCTGGTCTCTCACACTCTGCAGTTGTTCCTCAGGTAAAGTGGAAGTACCAATGTATTAAAGCAGCTCTGGAGCCTGAATTCTGAATTTGTGAAATTTTCTTTCCACCATCCAGTGATAACAATACAATTCCTCATAAACTACAGCAACACTCCTAAGTGTACTTCAGTTTCATGAACATTTTGGTCTGTATAGAAATTAATCCATGCAGTGGTTTCATACAGATACATTTTTAAGAAGATGAAATATCTTTACTTATTAATACAACCTGCTTATTAAGCCTCCTTTGATTTTTCTTCTTGGAAGATGTTTGTATATTAGAGCTAGGATTTCACCACGTATGTGGACTCCAGCTGTTAAGATTTAGCTGTTTTAAAATTGTTCTCAGATATGCTACCAAAGTGGTCTGAGGCATGGAGCACATACCTTTGGAAAACAGGAATTCAGACTTGTTGAATCTGGCCAAAGGGAGGCTGAAGGGCAGCCCAACAGCCACCTACAGCTACTCAAAAGGACAAGAACAACAAAGCTGAGCCCTTTGTGGCACAGCCAGGCAGTATAACAAAGCACAGCACCCACAGATGGCTCGGGAGGCACAGGTTGCACAGCAGGATAAAAATTGCCTCTAGGCAGGTACTACATCACTGGGACAGGTTGTTGGGAAATGACAAATGATCAGTTGCAGAGGTGACTCAAGGCTTAGCTGGATGAAAACAGCTGAATTAGAGTCCTGAGGCTGATCTTGCCAAACAGCATTTCTTTGATCCTATGGTAGATACATCTCCCATCTTCTCCCTGCCCCACCCCACTCTGGCCTGCCACACTCAGATATTGCCTGGAAAATTATGTCAACACAGTAAATGGCCAAATCCTCTGGCTCTGAGAGTTGTACTTCTAAGTCTTTCTATAGCCCAAAGTCATAGAAAACACACCACATACCTCAGAGGGCCAGGAGGAAGACACAGTTGCAGAATCCTGGTTCAGACTCCTCCAGGGAAAAGACAGCAACTAGATGAGACCCCAGACATTCATCTCTGTCCCTAAGGAGAGACTGATCTTTTTCAACAGTGTCTGGACCAATTTGGTTCATCTGCCAGCCATCCCCACACTACAGTAAATACAAGCTTTGCTACTGCACATTAGTTATGCCAAGGGTAATTAGCAGTTACGTCAACATGATTTCCAGTTTGACTGCTGGCTGACTCCATGTGGAAATGAGGCTGTTGATTGCAAGAGGAAATATGTCAGACCAGGCTTCAGAGGATGAGCCTTGTTGCTCATGAAGAAGAGCAGCCCTTGTGCTCAGGGGCTGTGCCTTTGCTCATCTCTGCTGGCCTTGGCATCCCCTGGAGCCCGTGGATGTGGCACAGAAGGGAGGGGCAGCTGTGTGCAGTGAGCAATGCTGATCTTCCCTTCACCTCTGAAGGTGTCACTCAGAGCTCACTGCCTCCAGCCAGAAAAAGGTGTGATAATGCTGAGTTGTAGGAGGTGGCAGACTCAAATCCTGGCTTAATTAAGAACATGTCCTCATTACAATGATTTCACAAGAAACTGGCCCTTGAGGACAGACTAACACAGACAAACAACTCACTCCTGGCTCACCCCATCTAAATGACTTGTAGTCCCAGGAGCTCTGGGTTTGGCTAAGCAGGATTCGCCCTGTTTAAGGGCTGGTTCTCAGCACTCCCTGTAAAGTCAATACAAGAGGAATATCCACATTTCCAGGGCAAAGTTCACAACTGGAAGATGAAGGGGAATTACACTATAAAAGTGTTTCTTCCTCTCTGATGACCATGAGCATTCACAGAGGGACAAGCTCTGACTTACACCTCCAACATGACATGAGCTGAATCCCACTTTATGTTGCCATCTCTAAATCCATGATGTCTATATCACATTGCTTAGCCAAAGCATAACAGAAAAATACAAAAGCCATCCATTTCCAAAGCCCTTTCCTTCTGGACAGAACTTCAAAGCAAACAACCTCTCCTCTTTCATTTTCATGGGCTTGATGTGTCAATCCAGCAGGAATTTCAGGGGTGTTTTATAACCTGTGTTGGAGGATGTTTTCTTGAGAGCACAACAAACAAATAATCAGCATAGCAAGGAACAGGAGGGAAGGATCGTGGAAGACAACAGAGGGTAAGGAATAGAGATTATTTTTCTAACTTCCTGGTGGGGTTAGCTGGGTGTTCTAGGTCTTACTCAAGCCCAAAAGAGCTGATAGCACTACAAGATCACCTGGTTTAAAGATGAGCTTATATTAAACTGGCCATGGACTAGCTGAAAATTTGGATTCTTGAGAAGTGAAGCCAAAAGATTTTTGTGCAGGTGATTTGCTCTGAGTCAGACCTCCTGATGGACTAAAAGCCAGCTCGTGGATGCAATGAAGCAAGTCAAAAGTCACCTTAGGCCTTCTCTGGGCTCCCCTTGTGATCCAGCCTTAGTTTGAAACACTCCTCTTCTGAGGTGACCTCAGAAGGGATGTGTGATGCTTCATTTGTGATTTGGTTTTCTGCTGCAGATACCATTTCATGGGACATGACCATTACCAATGGGATGTGCCAGAAAATCCTGAGTCAGGATGCCCAATTTGATGCTCCTTTTCACTCAGGAAGATCCAGAGAACAAGATTATGGTAAATATATGCCTCTGTCCATAACAAGCATCTGTGAAAATTTTAGATGGGTATTTCCACCACTAGGTCAACAAGACATGATGAATCATGAAATGTGGTAAGCAAACTCAGATTTTCCTTTGTTTTGTGAGATTCTGAACTGAAGTGGTTCTGAAAGTGTTGTATGGGCAGCATCTCATTTCCCAAGCAGGAGAGAGAGGAATGGGAACATGGAGGGTGGATGGGTTTGCAGGGCTAACTCAGAACAGGATGAGAAAATCAGCCATAAGAATAAGCAAATGCTTCAGCAATGAGCCAAGATTTTCCTCAAACTGAACCAGACAGGAACCTATCAGGTAAAGGCAGAAAGCTGCACGTAGCCAGCTCTGACCTCACCTCAGCTGGCTCTTGGACAATGAAGGCACTTCCCTAGAACACAATCTTCCCACCAGAGACTGACTGCCAGGACCCAGCTCTCAGTGAGAGATATTTGCTGGGGCAGAGAAGGCAGCTGATGAGGTTAGGGAAGTATTGGGCAGCAGTACCCACAGCCCAGCTATGGGTCTAAGGAGAGGCTGTTTCATTCTTGAACAACAAAAGCAAAAGTATCTGTTGTCACAAGTGAGGAAACCAGCCCAGCAAAACTGGTTTAGAGGAGGTGAATTTGAAATCCAGACTGGCTGATAAAAGGCAGATCCTATAACAGTGAAATTTTGGAGGGCTTTTGAGGTGCCCATTTAACCTCTGGGGTTAGACCACATCTGGTTGCCCTCACTGGAGCTCTTGGTTGTCTTGGTAGAAAAAGTCAGATTCACCACTTGTGTTACAGTCTGCTGTGCCTGGACAAAGCAAGAGCAAATGCTACCATCATAATTTGGGTGTGGGGAGCCCTAAACCAGAAGCAACCTCAGGATGAAGGTACTGGAAGCAAAGAGGTGGATTTGATCCAACTCTCCCATGGGAACCCTTGGAGACACCATGAAGCTCAGGATGGAGCCAATCTTGAGCAGTCTGATCCAGCACTGATGGTAGATCTGCTGCAAGGATCTCAATGATCTTAGAGGTCTTCTCCAGCCTAAATGATTCTGTTATCCTAAAAAAATACCTTTCTGGTTACAGAGGTTGGTGCAGAGGTTTCACCTCTGAGAATGGTGGGGAGAAGGAGTCTGTGCAAGTCAAGTCCAACCTCAAATGTCAAAAGGCAAATTTTTATGCAGCCATGGGCATTGTGAAAAAAATGTGCAGTTATTCAAAATAATACCAAAGTACAGATCAGCATGGGCAAAGCTGGAGCAATAAGGAAATTGAAAGTACCAAGTTTAGCACTCTGTTTTTATGTCCTGGTTCTTGTTTTTCAGTCAGCTGCAGATCAAAATCACAGAAATCAGCACAAAATGCAATGGTTGATACTTTTATATTTTTTCTTTTGCGTTAACAACTGTTTCTTATAAATACACAGCTGTTATCATCAGCCCTAACAGGGTAACCTGTGAGTCTGTACTACAGGAAACACAGCACTGAGAACATGACCCTTCCTTCACGTGCCACTCTCACACTTGCTGCTGAGTATTATAATCACAGAATTACAGAAGGGTTTGGATTGGAAAGCACCTTCAAGATCATCTCATTCCGACACACTGCCATGGGCAGGGACACCTTTGACAAGATGAAGTTTCTCCAAGCCCCATCCAACCTTGGACACTTCCAGGGATCCCGGGGCAGCCACAGCTTCTCTGAGTAACCTATGCCAGGGCCTCCCCACCCTCACAGGGAAGAATTTCTTCCCAATATCCCACCTAAACCTGCCCTCTGGCAGTGGGAAGCCATTCCCCCTTCTCTTGTCCCTCCTGGCACTTGCCCAACATCCCTTTCCAGCTCTCTTGGAGCCCCTTCAGGCACTGGAAGGAGTTCTAAGGTCTTCCTGGAGCCTTCTCTTCTCCAGACTGAACACTCCCAACTCAGACTATTTCCAGAGCAGAGGTGTTCCAGCCCTCCATACATTCCCTGTGGATGCATTATTTGGAAGGCACATTGGGGTTAGTGGCACACACTTGCCATTAAAATCTATGCAATTATTTAATATCAACCTTTTCAAAACATCGTTTTTCTGCAGGATTAAAACAGGGAACACCCCTCTTTATTGTAACCTAGGGCAACTGCTCAGCCAGATTATTCCATTACAGAGTTCTTCTCTCCTAAAGATCACAGGTGCCCTGCAGCTATTTGGGCATTATCTGTCAGTGCTTTTACCATGAAGTCTTCTGCTCATCTGAGATTCTTTCTCTGTGTGTCACATTGTGTATTGAACTTTGGTTTTTAGTCTTGGAAATCACTCAAGTGTTCAGAAAACAGAGGAACAGACTAAAGGTATTATTAACCCTCAAACTATTCTTTCATTCTCCAAATTATTTTCACTTAGTATCCATTCAAGCAGCTCATCTTTATCCTCAGTCATCCAAACAAATTAACCTGCAGAAACAAAAAGCCCAAAGATAAGCAAATGATATTTACTAAGGGAAGGTAAAAACCCACAGATTTTATTGGTTTGTCTGCCAGAGACTGACTTTGCTGTAGAAGACAAATTTCAGTACGTTATAAACACTGCAATTAATATTTTTCAATTTCAATTTTGCAATTAGGTGTAATAAAGTTAGATGATTTTACTGATAGGCTTTGAGAAAAAATAATATGCCAGTCTGGAGAATTTCCTTTTCTGCCTTCTGCTTGTTGATGTTCAAGGGCAAAACACACAAGGTATAAAAACTCCAGACTTTTTGTTGCCTGACTATGTTCTTTGAAGAAACCCCATCATGAAAGTCCCGTCTTCCCAACCCCAAAGCTGCTGGGCTCTCAGCAACCTACACCAGCAGTAAAACACAAGGTAATCAAATTTTACTTTCAAAAGCCTCCAACTATTTTTAGTACATATATTTCACTCCATCCTACCCAGAGCACTGCAAAGATGTAGCATGGAGAAGGAAAGAGCCAGGCTGCCACATAATGTTCTGCACCATGCTGAGATGGGTAAGAGGCTTTCCTGGAAGCAGGGATGCTTTTTGGCCTTTTTTTTTTAAGGCAAGACAGAACAGTGCCAACGAGCCTGGCACAGGAAGGAGGTTGTCTGTGCTGGATTGTGTTCAGCAACTGCACGCAGGAAGTGGCGCAACTCTTCCCCGTACACAGCAGCTGCTGAGACCACAGCACGCTGGTTTTCGTTGGGGATTGACATGAGCCCCATGAGGCAGCTGTATGGGATCCCTTCCTCAAAGCAGAGAAACTCTTTATCTTTGCCATGAGCCACTCCAGCCAGCAAGAGTTTCGCTGGCAAAGCACAATGGAGTGTGCTCAACTTGTGAACACAGGCAAAATTCTTTATGAGAAATGTCAGGCTTGGTCTTCCTTTGGCTTGTCTCTGCTGTTATGAACAACACCCCTCTGGCTGCAGGATGGGAGCCAGGGTTTCCTGAGCTCTGACCTCAGCTTTCACAGGTACTTGCCAAAGGACCACTGCAAACTCCTAAACCCTCTGTCTCAGCCTCCCTACCTTGATTTGACTGACATGAAACACTTGGGAGCTTGCGAGTGTCCCAAATGACACAGCAGATTATCCTGGAAAGGGCATTTAGTCCACGAGCAGCCTCCAGAAGGGTTCAATCCATAATACACCAATCCTGGCAGCTGCCTGTTCCTTCTGCTCACAAAAAAATATTTATTGTAGACTCCACCACATGCCTGGGCAGCACATCCTTACCTGCATTACCTAACTGCACTGGCTGTTCTTACTGCTGGTTTATTATTTTATTCCTATTGTACATCCTAAACGTGTTTGTTACTGGCATTTCTGAAAGGTAGATTTAACATTCTGTCCATCAGCATTTCAAGGAAGAGGAGGAGGTCAGCATTATTATAAAATTATTTAAGTTGGAAAAGACTTCTAAGATCACCAAGTCCAAACATCAACCCAGCACTGCAAAGGCCACCACTAAACCAAATCTCCAAATGCCACATTTACACATCTTTCAAATCCTTCCAGGGATAGTGACTCCACCTGGACACCCTGTTCCAACACTTGACAACCCTTTCAGTGAATACATTTTTGCTAATATCCAATCTAAACCTCCCCAGGCACAATTTGAGGCCATTTCCTGTACTACAATTGGTGATTCAGGACAGCTTTCAATAATTGAAAAGATTTTTTTTTTACACAAGTCATGCCAACAGGGAAATAACCCACAAATTCACCCTTTATTTTAAGTTCTAAAATCTGCTCTTTCCCTTCTATGACTAACCATCTTTTTTTTTTTTTTTTTTCTTTAAAGGTGTTTTGGAAGAGTTTTGAAATTCAGATTTGCAAATGCTTATAGCTAAACACATGCGCCTGTCCTCTTGACTTGTTCCTAACATAAAATAAACGATAATATCTCAAGGTCAAAGTTCTCTAAAGTGAAGGAAAGGAGCATCACTATAGGTCAGATAAGTCTCAAGCTCTTCACTGACCTCAGCTTCAGGAAGCAGCATAAAGTAGAAACCAGGTCAGCTTCAAAGAGATGAGCCTCCTTATGCTGAGCTTACTGGGACTAAATGAGAAAGGCCAAACACAGCTCACACCTGATCTGGGGCAATGGAAAAATCCCTTTTTAGGTGCTCTGACCATCATCATATGACCAGGAGGATGTCTGAATGTGCTGCTCAGTGCACAGGGTGGTTATTGATGGGGACACCTACAAAGCAGAGAGTACCCAGGAGCAGGAGATGCCTTCACCTTGCCTGTCTCAGGGACTCTTATGCAATACTTAAAAACAGCTGCTAGAAACTGACTTGAGGAACTTGACCAGGGTAAGAAAATGCTTTCACATGAAGAAAGAGGGGAAGTCATGGTTATATTTAGAGATACAGGTTTGAGAGGAAAATATGGACCCCAGAACCGATAAACCTGGGAGGATGAGCTTCATTTAATTCCAGAACAACTGCTGAAGTCACCTTTCTGCAAGCAACTGTAAAGTAGTGTGAGAGAGAGGGTTTGTAAAGACCAAATTTTCTCAGACCAGTCTGATTTCCTCTCGTGAGCTGGTAGCAGACTTTGTGGGTGAGGGAGAGACAGATGATTTCATATTGCTTCTTTTTACAAAGGCTTTGGATCATGTCTCCCATGGCAGTGTTTGAGAGACCAGAGACTGACACAATGCATTGGGATACCTGTGGAAAGTGATGGGGAAATGCTCCCAGATAGCTGCCTTTAATGGTCCACAC